TCTTCCGATCTCCCCAAAACCCCAAAACCCCGCAATTACTTATTTAATACTTCAACATTTATTTGGAAAAATATAAATTAATAGCTGTAACTTAATAAAAAAATGTTCCAAAACAAATAACTTGAAAATGTCAGCATTAACACTTTGTAAGAGATATAAACCTCAAATTTAATTATAGTTGGCCTTCTCTTAAATAAATTCTTTTAGAAATTTTAATCAGTATGACTAAGACAAATCAACATAAATTGAGATGAGTCATTTTAGAGATTCAAAAGAAGTAAATATGGCAATTTAGTAATTCTATCAATAAGTAGTACCATTATCAAGTCATTACCCTCAAAACTTTCATTAATAAAGTAGTTCTTAGTTCTAAAATCCTATACAAAATTAATTACACTTGCTTAAAAAGACCCCGTAGACTTCATAGAGTCATAGTAGAAATCCAAGAAGACAATTTAACTACGATGCTTTATCAGATCTACCTTAAAAATCACTAGATATTTCTCAAAGATTTAACATGAGTTCTGGCAAAGATAAGTTGTCAGTGGCAATGACAGCGAACTAATTAAATTAAGATTAAATTAATAAATCAGTTGATAGCCATTCTAATAATACGGGAAGCATTGTAAATGGCTAAAAATTAATAGGCAAACAACAAGAAAAAATTAAAAAGAGTAAGGATAAATAATCCTCTAACTAAAATAAAGTTAATTAAAATAAGTCTAAAAGAATCGCATAGAAGTAAATATAAAAAGACCAATTTGATCTTAGATTTAAGAAAGCATAGATAGGATATAAATTTTATAACACAATTAAGGGTTTAAATGGTTAAAATTTAAATCATACAGATAAAAATACTAATAACAATGATCTAGAGCATATTTATGAAATATAAAATGATAGATTTAAAGATGAGCCGAAAACATCAGGCTAGTAAAAATTAGGAGGAAATAATCTTAAGTATCATATGATTAGAAAAATATTAGAATCTAAAGATTTTGATTAAGTTAAGCATTATTCTGAGATTTAAAGGTAGAAGTAAGATGATTCCCAGTTAATGATTTTTAATAATGGCAACTTAGATAGAATGAATGAGCATGATAAATCTGGAAGAATTCTAAATAATAAGGACTCCCTCCTTATAGAAGAGTTAAGTTTAGAATCTTAGAAAAAGCTAAATAAAACCTTTGGCAGTACATTATCCTCTCTAGATGGTAGTCCTAAGAGATAGGGAGAAAGGAGCTAAGGAATACAAATAAAAATATCTTAATGCAAGTATAAACTTGATGATGGATAATAAAAATAACTATATTAATCCAAAAGCCTAAGCAGAAATCATAAAAATTAAGCAATATACCCATTCCAAATGAGTAAGATTAATATGATCCATCAAAAAAGTTTAGAAGCTAATAGTATCTTGGACTAGAGAAGTTTAAATTTTTAGGTTCAATCTAAAAAGATTGATCTAGTCAAGAATTTATAAGATAATTTATCTCCTAATCAAGAAAATAAATCATTAACAAGAAATAATTAGCCTTTATCCCCAAATAATAAAAGTTAAACTTGCAATCGATTTTTGTAAAAAGCCAAAAGACATTAAGAAAATCTTATATATAGAAATTAGTATAATGAAAAAGCTGAGAAACTAAATACTCATCTATCATATAAAGACTATCTATTGAATGTAAGTTAGGATAATCTCGCTTCAAAATATGATGCAATCTCTATCCTCAAATAAAATGAGCAATAGAGTCATAAAGAAATAATAAACTACGAATTATTAGGAAAATCTCAATTATTAAGCCGTCAATTTGTAGCCCAGAGATTTAATAACTACAACAGTTTTGGGAATCAGAACAAAGACTATAGTAAATATAATAATATGATGGGAGGTAATGATTCTAGGCTTATGAGGCCTAGTTACAACGAAAGCAATAATTAAGATATCATTCAAAGGTTCAGCAATACATAAGTTATAAATGCTCATAATAGTCGTAGTCCAACTAGACAGGATTATAAAAAGAGAAAAATCAATGAATAATTTGGAATTGTATAACGGAAACTAAAAAACAGTAGAAACTATCAATTCAATTAAATGACATAAAAGAAAAAGCTTCATGAAGATAGTATTTATTCCCCAGAAATAGGTAGTAAAATGGAAAAAATAAGTTTTTTGTCGAAACAGGAGTTCGAATAAAGCTTTTTACAAAATAGTCTTGTTGATGACAGCCAACAGAAAAGCTATTATTAAACTGATGGTTGATTTAATACTGCCTAAATTCTGCCAAATCTTAATAAAAGAAAGCCTCATATTGTTAGCTAGCAATAGCAGGCTATTCGACAATCCTTTGAATATTAGCATAAGAAATCTAATATGACTGAATTTACTGGGAAAAACTTCCTAAATAAAACTGATGTAAAGTCGCAGATAAAATTTGAAGATTATAATGAAATTAGCAACTTATTCAATGGCTTTGAAAGGCTTAATTCATAAATGAAGATATAAAGAAAAGCAATGATTATGACAAGTAAAATAAAATCATTCCAGAGCTAGGCACTAGATAGTGAATCAATCATTGATAAAAGTGACAATTAGTTCTTTAAAGCTTTAAACCAGATTATGGAAAAGAATAAGGAAAAACTCGAATGAGTATAAGCAAATAAACTTATGGATTAAACCAAAGAGGAGATGCAAGATTCTTAGCAAAGTAAAAATGAAAGAATATCTCGAATTATTAGGAGAACTAATATACCTTTCATGATTTCATAAAACTCTTTCAACTAATACTCTTAGATTTAAGTTTCTAAAGTATTTGGAGATTTATAGCAGCATGATTCACAAAGAGTTCCATTACTAAAGTAAAATTGCCTGCTTGAATTCATAAAGAATCTTTATCCAAACAACCTTGGTAATTAAAATAAGTTTAAAAACTTCTAATACTTCTGCTAATGTACAAATAATGCATAATCCTACAGTTTAGTAATTTATGGAATCGATACACCAATATCTATCTGCTGCAAGTAGTTGATATGCTTCTAATTCTGTATGGGTGAAAGTGCATTAAAAATTTTATGCCTGGATCCAATATGTCAGTTCAATCCTTTAGAGCAAAAGCAAATTAACTCATAATTTTTAGATACGATTTTCAGCACACCTAATGAGATAGTTCATGATGTTAGAGATAAATCAAACCAATAATCATAGCTGTATGACTCCTCATATTATGAGCAAAGTAACAATGAAATCATTGGTAAAAGAAGAAAATCAGTGTTTGAAAACTTCAGTAAAAATCATAACAATACCTTAGATTCAACAATTCAACATTTTAATAATGAATCTGCTATCAATATCAACAACATCAGCCAAGATTCATTTAGAGATGCTTAGTAAATTGAACTCACTCAGTAGGACAACTTCTCTGTAAGTCATGGTGATCCCTCCTATAGAATGCTTCAAAAGCCACATTACATCCAATGATTTATAATCAATCCTTAGGGAAATGTATTAGAATATTATAAATCAAGTGATTGATTAATATTATAAGTTTATAATAATTTAAACCTTAATTTCATAATGGAATAGTTCTGCTGGGCTGCTGGATGCATTAATATGAGTTTAAGTCTTGTCTTCTAGGCAGTAGCACATCATTCAAAAAAACTAGATGCAGTTGGAAAAGACTCCATGTTAAGAGCAGTCAGTGTCCATCAAATATCATCTCTTGGATTTATATTACTCTCAATGAAAGGAGCACCACTACAATTAACATGCCTACTTAGTGCAGCAACATTCCTTTTCCCTTATGTTATTTATTACCAAGCTATTTTGAATAATGGTCAAAGAGTGATGCTAACAAGCATGGTTCCAAAAGGTGGAGTGATGCATATGATGTTTTGGATCAGCATGGGATTATTTTATTTCAACAACCCTAAACAGGTAAATGGCGGAAAAGAGTGAAGTTAAATTTTAGTAGATAATGTAATAAAGTTGATTATATTTTAGTCGTTTAAGTATATTATTTTAATATTTAAAATTATGAATTAATTCAGAGACACAATAGAGAAGACTGTAAAGTCAATATTTTGTTCTAGATAGAATTTTCGATTTGGGAACAATTTTTATGCTCCAAGTATGACTGATAGTAGCAATTTTTCTGATTCCAATATTGATCAAAGCAATGAATCTGAAAAATATATTGATTGTAAAAGTGATTGTTCTCATTGTAATAAGGAAGAAATTAAACAGAACTCAGATCTTTTGGCACTACAAACAGAACTCTAAGCCATGAAAAATTAGCATTGGCAACCTAACTTAAATGTCTTTGAAAGAAGTCAATATGAGATAAATCAAAATGACAGCTAGTTTGATTTACTTAAAGATAAGATAAGGATCATAAATGAGAGAAGTTTAGATTTAGACGACATAGACATTGATTAATTGAGTTCATCGCGGAAAAGAAGAAAGCCTAATGAAGATAGTGAATTTAGACTAGTAGACAATAAGGCTATTATAGACATGGGAAGAGTATTGGCAAGTGTCGATAAATAACTATAACGAGAGAAAGAGGAGAGCAAAAGATAATCATACACGACATCACCTGTAGATCAACTTTAAAATTTATCTTTTGGGAAGGATCAACAATAAAACAACATCTCTAAGGATAAGAATAATCCACTAGAGTTTTCATCAAAATCCCGACAGACAGTCCTAAATTTTAGCAAGGATAAGAACTACCTTTAAAGACTCGCAGAATCTAGTTCTAAATATAAGTAATCTAAGCAGCACTCATAGTAATTTAAACAGAATCAAAATTGCGAGGTGCATGGTGTTCTTCTTGGAAGTGGTTGTAAGTATTGCAATGAAGAAAAATTAATGAATTAAAAACAAGAATATCAGAATTAAGAAGAGGACATGGATAAAATAACCCAATCTTTGAAAAGAGTGACCATTTATGATCTATCACCAAAAACCAATCAAGGGAATGATTGCAGCAAAGTTTATCATAGTAACTAGGAATTCGAATTAAACATCAAGAATTAGAATGATAATCATCTTAACTTTGATAGCTTTGACCTAAAGTAATAAGAATCGAAGAAAAGAAAATACGAAGAGATAACAAATTCTAACTAAAATAACTTCAATAATGAATAAGAATAGTAGAATATTTCAAATTTCCTTAACTCTAATAAGAAGAATTCAATTCAAGATTTCAACAATGTGTTTTTGGATAATCTTAATGCTTAGAAATAATTTCAACCGTACAAGGCTGATGTAAATATGAATCACGGTAATAATAATAGCAGCACTAATAACAATTATCTCGATAGCCAAAGATAAAGATTCATGGATACCTAATCGTAAGAATTGCATCTGAGTTCAAATTTCTAAAGTTTTAGAGCAAATGAAGAATATATAAGGCAATATACACTAGCTTATAGCACTCCATCAATGAGTATAACTCATGATTATTTAGATAGACAACAGAATTAATTGACTATAAAACTAGATGATATAAAGAATACTGTAAGTGAAGCCAAACTAGTTTCTATAATAAGTTAGCTATATGATGAAATACAACCAGATTAGCTAAGTAAAATGGAAAATATTGTAGTATAATAGAAGCAAGAAGACCAAGATTAAATCAATAAAGTCTATTTAAATTTCATACTCAAGTAAGTTTTATTAAAAAAATGAATTATTGTAAATTAGATAGCTTCTTAAGGATTATAAAAACGAGGATTAAGACTCTGATTTAGTGATTTTATCGAGAAATCATCGTTACTGGTTAAGCAAAAAGTCTCTACATTATCTTTATCATTGTTAAAGACTAAATGACGAGGTAATATAATTATTTATTTAATGAATTAACTTAGATAATAAACTCCTTTACAAGATTGATATCAAGTCCTAGATAATTTCACTCTAGTTAGCAAAAACTTTTCCATTTCTTCGACAGCTTTTTTTTCTTGAAGCTGTCATATTAAATTGATACAAACACCTATAATTTCATCGATTTCGCTTCATACTTTGACAAATCTCACTTCTAATCCCCAAAGATTGTAGCTTAGCAGTCAGTAATGATATTTGTGGTGAATAATGAAGAAGATGATTTCGTCTTAATAGTAGTTGATATCTATACACAGTAGTTCATAGTGTATGACCCTATTCAAGGTCGGTAAAAGGAGACATTCTTACTTCATGTCAAGAAAATTAAGAGATTTCTGACCGATTATTTTCAATGCTTCCCACCAAAGAAATTAGAAGAGTTACAGTAATCTCAAATTGAACAATAGTAAGATATTGAAGATTTAATGAGTTTCAAAAGTGCTAGCATGAATAGTCATTAGTAGGATGAACTATTAATTGAGCTGCAGCTAGACAGAGTAGACCAGTGGCTATTTACTTCTGGAAGCTGCTTTAAGATTAATGATCAATATTTTCAATAGCATGGTTCTGGCATTTTCATTGTCTGGTATTTAGACTAATTAAGCCAGTGTCTCATGCCACAAAGGTCTTAGAATTTTTAAAACGAAGAAATCTAGGATCTCTATTCGAGATTAAGTGTAGAACTTTTAACATCTCAACTACTATCATATATTTGATGCATATCTATAGATTAATTATTATAAATTCTTCATTCAGAATACGAATGATGGGGTTTTGGGGTTTTGGGGTTTTGGGG